TGCTCCTGATTGTAATTCTTCAAGCAATGCCTCTGATAATGATAATAACGAACAATCATGAAAAATGCGATATCAAGAACAAGATCAGCAGTCTTTTTATGAAGATCCGTCGAATATTGTTGGACGTGATAAATTACGTGCATCATGTACGAATTATAATGATGGTGAACTCGACTGGATTAGTGAAGATGAATATGAATTTGATGGACGTCCATTGTACAATGATTCTCCGATTTCTATTAATTCTGCTATTCGTCAAATAAGTGATTTTTACTTGAATGCAAATTTAGACAAACATAAAGTCAACAGCTTACTTCGATTAATTAAATGTTTATTACCGAAACCAAATTTATTACCATCAACATGGAAAGGTGTTCAAAAATCGTTTCATCGTGTTACATCAGCTTCTACCACTTTACTTTGTGATAGTTGTTATCGTTCATGTAGTTCGTATGGTAGAAATTCCAAAACATGTGTGAATCCAAAATGTACAAAATCATTTCGTCGACTTCAGACGACAGAAATCATAGAAATTGTTCGATTTGATATCATATCTCAAATACAATCTATTATGAATCGAAATGCTTCATTTATAAATAAATCAAAGTTGTTTCCACCAAGTGATATTTGTTTTGCGGAACAATATCAATATATATGTAACAAGACAGATAATCGAATTTCTTTAATTATTCACTCAGATGGAGCTCCATTGATTCACTCTTCGAAGAAATCTATTTGGCCTTGCTTTGCCGGAATAGTTGAACTCCCTGCTCCAGTCAGAGAATATCAATCCAATATTATAATTCTAGCATTATGGGTGTCGAAAAAAAAGCCAGATGTCAATGTTTTTTTAGATGAAACAATACGTGAGATTTCTATGTTGATGCATAATGAAACTTCTATATTCATTCAAAATGTTGAATATAAAATTAAACTTGCAACTCAATTTTTTTTGTGTGATTTGCCAGCCAAAGCTCTATTTTGTTGTACAACATATTTCAACGGATATCACGCTTGTACTTCTTGCTCTAGCAAAGGTAGGCTTTGTTTATTTCTTCAGGTCATAAATAAGACAACTTCTATCATTTCTTATAACATGATGTATCTTGTGGTTCTTCAAGATTTAAAAGTTAATAGATTTAAATGAGTAAAAATCTAAGTTTCTTAAAATATCTTTGTCACTAATTTCTATTGAATAATAAAAACAATAGTTTTATAGTCTCACATTACCGATAAAAGCAAACATATATTCTACTACAGCATTTCTTCGACGTAAAAGCATCATTATAAATAAAGAATTATTTTAGTTGTCTGTTTTTATCAAGACAAGAGCTTGTATTCTATTTTCATTTAATGAATTAAATTTTCAAATTTATTCTAGGAGTATGGAGTGCAGATTATAACAAAGTTCTTTATCCATATTCCAGTAATGATTTTGTACCTCGTACACATCATGAATATCTTATAGCGGCTAAAGAAGCTGTACGCAAGTCTAATGGTAGCAAAGAAGTAGCTGTAAATGGCATTAAACGTCCTTCACCTTTATTGAACATATTTAATTACCCCACACAAATCATATATGACTTCATGCATTTAGTATGCTTAGGACACATTCCATCATTAATTAATCGATGGTGTTCGAATATGAACAAAAAAGCAATATTAGAAATCGACAATAAATTACGAAATCTAAGTATTCCTCATAATATAAGAGTTACTTTTCTTGAATCTATTCAAATGGCATCACATTGGAAAGCAAAACATTCTCGATTGTTTGTTCTTCATGTTGGTGTGCCGATAATGGCAAGTTATCTTCCTACTCTTTGGTTTTCTCATTTTATAATTTACTCACTGGCTATTAAACTCTTATACTCTCCAGAAACAAAACAAGAAATATTACTTGCTGAACGACTACTTGATTTTTATTGTCGTACATCTTCGAATGTTTACGATTCATCGATCGAAATCTTTTCTCTTCATGCACATCTACATCTTTCTTATCAAGTTCGCTTGCATGGTGGTCTAGCACACACGTCAGCATTTGCTTTTGAATCTATGATTCGTTACATAAAGAAAAAAGCTCATGGTAGTATTAATCCAGCATCACAGATTGCATATTGGATAAATATGAGACGTGCTACACAATCTAACAAATTTAATTTACCAATAGATCGTCTCATTAATGTAATTCAATATAAATATACGAAAGATAGATCATAACAAATAGAAGAGTATAGAATAAAATAAATTATTTCACAAGAGAGAGAAAACAGTAAGATAGCAACAGCAAGAGAAAGAGAAAGAGAGGAAAAAAATTATTGCGTGGCACTGTCGTTCTTCTTTGACTGAAGTAATTGTTTATACTATTATCTGGTTTGTTTTCTTCTTTGGTGAATAGAATAGACGGTAGGTCAAGCGAAAAAAAAATAACCTATTTCATTCTAACTACTTTCTTTTGTTATGACCATGTCACTATTATCACAATACGTAACTATCATTTCTTTTTCTTTTTTTCTTTTTTTCTTTTGCTGAAATAGGAACTAAAACCAGAAGATCCATCGTTTGTTCAATTTTTTCCAGATTTTAAACAATCATTGACTAACATTATAGTTGATTCTACGCACACAATATATTTATACAAACGTTATATATCATCATTCATTACTTTTCATTCAGTCATATATGATAATGTGTTTAATTGTAATAGCCATATTATTTCTTTTGTCGATGGTTTGAAGAATAATCTCAAGCAATATGGAAAAATAATCGTATTTTTCTCATATCTTAATCAAAATTATGCATTTTTACAAAGATATTTTGTGGGAGATAAGCAAATGTCAGATCTAGTTGAATTGCCGATGGAATTATGTACTCAAATCAATTTATTTTTTCCGATAGTTTCATTGTCCAATACTTTTACAATCATACCAGTGAACAAAATTCAACACAAATGCATTCTAGTTCCATTGCTTGACGCATTTTGTGTATCGGAAATGAAAGTAGATTATGAACATGACTAATTTGATATATTTCAGCTTATACCGCCTTTTAACTCTCAACATTTTATTCTTTTTTATTGTTTGCTTCGTATTTTAGATGACGACTGAAGAAAATTCTTATGCTAAACGCTACACATCGAAGCGTAAAGTTATTGAAGATATTCAAGAATATCATGTTGTAATTTTCCCATGTGATAATTCATTTTCGGTGGTAAAGGCAAAACAATGTTCACCAGCTGAACATGATGGTTATGTTATGATACAATCTGGAGGAAGAAAATATACTGGATTTGTATTCGAAACAGGTAAAACAAAAAATAAAAAACGAAATAAAAAAAGTATTCTTTTTAGGAAGTTTACAAAAGTGCAGCAAAGCTGCCGATTTACTTTCACAAAAACAACATGAAGATATAGAAAGTGATTATGAACGAGGAAAAGAAAATTCATCTTCAAACAATATCATTTCAAGTTTGTCCAATATATTATAATGCTTTTCCTCTCCAATTTTGTTTTGATTGCTTTTAGAAGAAAAGAGAACATTTACCACACTCAAAGATGTACCATTTCAGATTGATACTCCTTCAAAAAATATCAATCAATCTTCAAGTTCGCATACGCCATCAAAAACTACTGATCGAGCTCCATGTTTACATACACCTTTGAATTCAAGTGAGCAATTCTGAAGAAATAGGATTTTTGATTATCTTTTAATAATCATATTGGGATAAAAAAAACAACTGAGTTTAACACTTCTATGACTTTCCAAACCTTTGATGTAGTAATTTATGTTATTCTCAAACTGTATAGATAGGATTATGCTGCAACTCCAATACTAGTTTAAAATAATTATAACACAGCTAAAATATCTAAAGTTTGGTTTGCTTTTCATGGTGAAACTAATTTTCATTCTTCCCAAAATAGGATGGCCTCGCGATCGAAATGAACCTTGTATCAGAAATTCTGAAGAAATCAACATAACAAATACAAACACAACAAATAATACAAACAGTAAGTAGATTATTCTTTTCTGATGTGTACTATGTTCTAATATAAATTCTTCTTACATAATATTTTCTAATATAAAATATTGTCTTAATTGTTAAGTGATAACTTCTGGTTCATTACATTTTAATGATGCACGGCAACGTGAAAAAGCTGATTCATTATCTTTACTGAAAAGACAAAACTTAGGTCACAAGAAGAAATCTAAAGTTGTACAGAAAAAAAATGGTATATCGTCATCAGATACTGAATCTGACCATTATGATCCTGTAGAACCAATAGAAATAATTAAAACGCCAACATTTAATGGTAGACGTCTCGTTAGTTCCAATACAGCTTATGATTCTGTGAATAGTTCTGTTCATAAAGATAGTGAATTGAAATCTATTGAAATAAAATACCTTATTCCAATGTTATCAGCACAACAAAAATTAGAAATAATGATGCAATCGTTATACAAAAATCAAACAAGTATTCAAAAGGCTCTGAAAAGACGAGAGGTATGATATAAAAGATACAATTTCTTCTAAATTAGTCAAGAGTAATTTTAATACGAAATTTTCGCATGTCTTAAATTTTAGATACTTGTTTCACTTGAAGAACCTGGTACTGTACCAAACGATGATTTAGATTTTCCACGTTCACTCGTAAGTAAAATATTCACTGATTCTCTGTTTTTCCTATCTATATTTAGATTTTCAAATGGTCGGATACTGATCCTGGTATTGACTTACTAAAACTACCAGGAACAAAAGAAAAGGCTAATCTTTATGTAACATGCTTAATCGAAAAAATGTTTACTATAAATGAATTAGTAGAGTTGAAACCGGCTGATACTTATAATGATAATCGATACAAGATGATTCGAGGTAATCGTTCACTTTTTCTAGTTATGTTATAACTGTCGCAGTTTATTTTTAGAAGCCGTTAGGTGTAAATTCCGTTTAACAAGTGATCAACTGGAACAAATCTTTAGTGATTGGCTTCGTGAAGTTTTTTTGGCAAAAAGACGTGTTGCAGTCTCGAAAATGAAATCAACACAGAACAGCTGATGCTTTTTTTTGTCTATAATTTTTTTTTGTTTATGTAATTCATACATGTAGCTTTCTACATATATACTAAAATAAATTTTTGAAAGTTCAGGGCTTACTTGAAATCAATGAAAAACTTGAAGCTTTTAATATGAACTAGTTACATTGAACAAGAATATTGACGTATTTGAGCAATAAAACTTTAGAAAAACATCACACTATAACGCGTAATATTGATATTCACGCCGTAATAACGCAACATGGTGAATAAAGCGGAGCGCTAAAAGGGGTCACAATGCGATCGCAATAACGGCAATATAACGCCGCTACTTTACCGTTAACGACAACATGGGTTGGTTTTTCACCATATCGTTCTTATCATCTTCATTACTCAAGGAAATTTTTTTCTTCCAAGAATGAATCAGACGATAGTAAGTGTTTTATGATTCATTTCACATGATAAAATACCTGTATTGCAGTTAAACTCTTAAACAAGAAGAAGACAACCTGAGCAGTGATTAAAGATGTGAGTGTGAGGTGTGGGATGTGTCAAGCATACCATGAGGGTGTGGGTGCGGGTGTGGGTGTGGGTGTGGATGTGGGTGTGGGTGTGGGTGGGGTGTGGGTGTGGGGGTGGGTGTAGGTGTGGGTGTGGGTGTGGGTGGGGGTGTGGGCGGGGGTGTGGGTGGGCGCGTGGGTGTGGGGGCGGGCGTG